GAACTATGGAATTTGAATGCAGATTGAAGTATACCATTTGCTATTTTTTTTCTCTTTTGTTGAATTTTGTTTCCTCTTCTGGTGGTTCCTCCTATTGGTTCTAATTCTTACAACATCATTAATGTGAAGATATGTTTAATAGGAATGTACATGTATAGCCTATATCATATTGTGTGCTGTCTTAGAGAGGGTGGTAGGGAAGAAGGGGGAGAAAAATTTTAAACTAAAAAGCATATGGTAGTGATTGTTGATAAATCAAAATAAATTTTAAAAAAATAAAAGTGAAAATTTCAATCAAATAACTAGGGGTGGGGAGTAGGGGAGAGGACTTTTATGTTTGTGTACACAAAACTGTATAATTGGTGACTGCTTTCCTATACTGAAATGACTGTTGGATTGTTTTACTGCTTTGTCATTGAGTCAATTTTTTTTTTCTATTAGTGAACAAAGAAAAGCAGAGGACATGAAATCCAAGAACAAGGAGTGGTCATAAACACTTCTCCTCCAACAACTTTTACTGACAAGTAGATAGATCCAGCCTGACCTGAAAACATGATTAAGAGGTTCACAGTCTCCCAAATCTTGACCTCTGTCCTTCCACAGTGCCGGAAATGCACATCATTGAGGCCTTTTCTTCATCACTGAATCTATGAAAGCTCTAGTAAAATGCATGTGGTACCTGGATGGATATGGACATTTTTCATATTCCATTATGAATAGTCAATATGATAAAGTAGAAAGTATATTGGATATGAAATTTGATTATCTGGGTTCAAGTTTGGTTTCTACTTACTTTCAGGTTGAGGGATATGGGTTAAATGGCTTCATCTATTTGAGACTTACCTTCCTCATATGTAAAATGGTGATAATAATACTTATATTATGTAGTTTTCAGGGTTGTTGTAAAGCAAAATTGAGATAGTAAGGGGAAAAAGGATAGGGCCTGGACCTAGTCAGGACCTGGATTTCATAGCTAGAGGGAACTTCAGGATGAGGAAATGCCTACTAGTGTAGGTCAGCACCTTCTCTGCAATTTACAGAAATATGTAGAACATTGAGAGGTTACATGATTTACCAGAATCTCATAGCCAATATATGTCAGAAGCAGAACGTGAACCCATGGCTCCCAGGCTCCAAGGCCAGCTTTCTATCCTCTACATTGTGCTGCCTCCTTTACATTAGACTTCTTGTAAAAAAGTCCATAAAGTTCCATACCAATATCACCCATTAAATTTTTGTTCTTTAGCAGAAATCAGAACCCTGAGTGAAGATTAGTAGGGGAAGGAAGAGAAAGACCAAGAGTATAGCAGAATGGGGCAAGGAGTTCACCATTAAGCTCAACTAAGTACCATAAAATGTGTACTCCTTGAAAGCAAGGACTTTAATTTGTGCCCTGAGTCCCCTGCTCCTACCACAGTGACCTGAACATGGTAGGTAATTAATAAATGTTTTGAGTTGAATTGAATAGAAGGGAACCATATGATCCTGAGGAGTAGTATGAAAGTGTTGAGGCTCCAGGGTACTTGAAATCAGTAGCCACAGCCTCTTGTGTCTATACCTAGAGCCAAGCTATTACATCATATATTGAGAAAATTAACCAAAGTTACTCCAGAGACATTTAAATTCCCAGATTGACTTATCACATCCCTGGTACTAGAATGGAGTCCATACAGGAAGTGATTTTAGACAGAAATGAAAGGGGCTATACAGAATTCAACTTAATTAACCTGCAACGCACAGAGAATCCATGAGCAAGAAGCAAGACATCCAAACATGGAGTGGTCACTTTAAATGGGCGTGCTCATCGATGTTCTCCTAATGCACGGCCTAGTCAAATAGAGAGCCTAAGGAAATGAGTTACAATATTTAGGTTGTGAAAAAATGCTAACCAATTCTCCACAACTTTGCAGGAGTAGACAAGAGAAAATTAATCTATGTTAGAGTAGTAAGGGTTTGCATTAGTGATTACAAAGAATGTCTTGACTTTCAGAAGTTTAAAACAATGGAACAGAAGAGTAAATGAAACTGGGCATCTCTTTTATATGACTTCTTTAAGACAAAAATAGATAATCATCTGTATTCCATAGTGCAGATATTCTTTGACTGAAGTAAGAAGATTGGATGAAATAAACTCAGGTTTGTTCCCACTCCAGGATTCTGCAGCTGGAAGGGTAATCAAACCACAAGAGGATTGTTAATTCCTCAAAGCAGAAGAGTCTTCTCTGCTTAGAAATTCCAGGACTCTAGGATACATGTTAGAAATTTGCTTCAGGGATAGCTAGGTGGTACAGTGCATAGAGCACCAGCCCTGGATTCAGGAGGACCTGAGTTTAAATCCGGCCTCAGACACATAACACTTACTAGCTGTGTGACCCTGGGCAAGTCACTTAACCCCATTGCCTAACTCCAAAAAAAAAAATTTGCTTCAGTGGATAGAACTCTGGCCTTGGAGTCAGGAGGACCTGAGTTCCAATCTGGCCTCAGACACTAGCTATGTGACCCTGGGCAAGCCACTTAACCCCAATTGCCTCACACACACAAAAAAGAAATTTACCTCAAATTCAATTCATTTCAAGTTTCATACTTACTAGAGCCATGTCTGATTATTTGCCTACTTCTCTAAGTCATTTCCATAGGTCCTTAATAAATATTTGAATTCTCCTTTTTGAGAGAGATACTGTTAAAATAGACTCCCAATTATTGCTCAGACAACCCAGACAATCTTTCATTTCCTTCCATCATCTCCATCCTCAACCTGACTAACTTTATAAGAGGTTCCAATTGAATGCTAAGGTATAAATTATTGCTTCTATTCTGAAGACTCAGAAATGTACATGTTCAACACTAATCTCTCCTCTGAGCTCCAGTTTGTCATCACTTGACATCTCCCGGGAATCTGCAATGGTCATGTTTTTGTCCCCTTGTATTTGTCTGCTGATCCATATTATAGAAGCAATAAACCTCAGTATGCTCTTGTTGTTGTTCAGTAATTTTTCAATAATGTCTGACTCTTCATGACCCCATTTGGAGTTTTCTTGGCAAATATATTGCAGTGGTTTACCATTTCATTCTCCAGCTCCTTTACAGGTGAGAAAACTGAGGCGAAAAAGGTTAAGTGACTAGGCCAGGGCCACACAACTAGTAAGTGTCTGAGGCCAGACTGGAACTCAGGAAGATAAGTCTTCCTGACTTCAGGCCCAGCTCTCTGTCTCACTTAGCTGCCTCAGTATATAAAGTACTGAGAGAAGGTTTGCCTGTTTAATGTACATTTATAGCATATTTGAAAGCTTGAAGACTAGCTTGAGATAGTTAATAGATTATTTTTGTCATTAGATCATAGACTTAATAGCACTTTTGGTTTGGTTTTGCCTGTTTGGTATTTGTTAACCTTATATACCTGAGCCATGAGTCCCTTTGTCCAAATTCACTAGGAGCTCCACTAGTTGTATAGATAATAGTTGCCTGTGCAGACAGGTGAGTTCCTTAGTTCTGGTAATGTATAGATTGGAGGTGGTACAAAGGAAGGGAGACTTCTCAGACTCTAGCCCAAGCCTTAAATGATAAGGTAGAAATATTCCAACCTTGAGTTCATCTGATCCTCTCTTAGCCACTCTGCCTCTGGACCCATGAGTTATATGCTCTGAAGTGAACAAAAATAAATGAAATCACAACTCATATGGGGAGATGAGTGCCAGGAGCTTTCACTTTTAGGTTACTGATTTCTGGAGGAACCTGCCTCTAAGCTTTTGTCATTGAACATGTTGTGATCGGCATCAGACCCAAAGCCTGAGACCCCACAGGCTCAGTGGAACACATTACCAGTTGGAAGTTCATATTGGAAGTATCACAAGCTATGTTTCTGCATTCTACCTTGAGGCTAAGAATCAGATTACTGAACACCAAAATTTTATCTCTTAAATTTGGCTTCAGATATGTAAGATTTGTGAGTGGGATTTTTTGTTTTTCTAATGCAGCCACTCACTTTAAAAAATCACAAGTTAGAAAGCATTTGCTGCTAAATGGTGCAAAAAAAAAAATAAACAAACCACAACAGTAACTCCCTGATCCCCTTGATTCAGTGTCTCCACTTATACATCTTGCTGGCCTCTCAAACTCAGCATATTCAAGACTGAACTTATCATCTCCCTCCTACTCCAATTGCCCCTTCTCCCAATTCTTTAATGATACTAGCATCCTCCCAGGCACTCAGGAACTAAAATTCAGTCATTACTGATTTTTCCTTCTTCCTCAACCTCCAAATCCATTCAGTTGCTAAGTTCTATCTCCAACATCTCTCATGTTTGTCACTTTCTTGTACTCACTCTGCCTATCCTAGTTCATGTCCTTATCACCTCTTGCCTTGGCTAATAAAGTAGGCTTCTAACTGGTTTCCCAGTCTCTAGTCTCTCTCCTCTAAAATTCATCATTTTACATTCACCTATTTCGTTGATTCTTCTGCTCCTACTGCCATTCTGTGGCCAAATTGGCATAGTTGCCAAAATAATCTTTTTAATCCATTCCACTGATCAAAAACCATCCATGGATTTTTATTGCCTACAAGATTAACTATAAACTCCTTAGCCTGACATTTAAGAACTTCCACAATTTGGCTCCAATGTGCTTTTCCAGCCTTATTTTATATTACTTGTCGTTACACACTCCAAACTCTGTACAAATTTCATGACTAGCCCTTTCCTTCACCTTCAACTCAACCTGCTATTTCTGGCTGAAAAGCTCTGTGTGGGCTATCCCTAATGCTAGAAATTCACCCTTTCTTCTTTTAAGGCTTAACTCAGGTTCCATATCCTCTATGAAACTTTTCTAGCTAAAAATTTTTCTCCCTATCCAAATTTCCCCAAAACCTTTTGCCTGGATTAACCCTTTGTCCCCATCATACTAATCTATGTATATGTATAATATTATATTATTAATTACATTATATATTATTATATTATATTGTACACTATTATTTGTGTGTGTGTGTGTGTGTGTGTGTATGCATATTACTCCCACTCCCAGAAGATGACAAATTCCTTGTGGACAGGATCTGTTTTATGATTCCTCGCACTTAATACAGTGCTTTGCCCACTGAAGATGTTTTACTAAATGTTTATTGAACTGGATACCAATGTACCCTGGTTCTCTTATTCATATACACCCCAACTCTTTAAAGCCTAAGGGTTAAAGAGAGAGAGACTGAGTGCAATAGGTTGTCTCAAAATATCCCTCATGAACCATGATGGTCAATCTCTTCTAGGCAATGAGTGTTGTGTCCACAACCGTCTCACAGCTGACTTCACCTCTTGGTTCCGTAGAGTATAAATCATGGGGTTCAACATGTGGGGCATGACTGTGTAGCTGATGGAAATGACTTTGTCTGTGGGGAAGGTGGTGAAGGGCCGAGCATAGGTGTAGATACAAGGCACAAAATGCAGTGCTACCACAATGATGTGAGTGGTACAAGTGGAGGCAGCCTTTCTCCTCCCCTCTCTTGAGTGGGATCCCAGCACCACTAGGATGACTGTATAGGAGACCATCAAGATGATGAACCAGATGATGACCAGCAACCCACTGTTGGTGATAATTAGGAGCTCCAGGAGGGAGGTATCAGTACAGGCCAGTCTTAGAACCTGAGGGATGTCACAATAGAAGTTATCTATGAGGTTGGGGCCACAGAATGGCAATGGGAGAAGAAGAATCAACTGAATAGATGAATGTAAACAGCCTACCACCCAAGCAGCTACCATCAGTCCCACACATAATTGTGTATTCATGATAGAGACATAATGGAGAGGACGGGAGATAGCAATATAGCGGTCATATGCCATCACTGAGAGGAAAAACAGGTTAGCCCCTCCAATGCAGTGGAAGAAGAAAATCTGGGTCATGCAGCCACTGTATGAAATGGTCTTGGTCTCTGAGAGGAAGTCAATCAACATCTTAGGGGTAGTAACTGAGGAAGAACTCAGGTCCAGGAAGGCCAGGTTTCGAAGTAGGATATACATGGGAGTGTGAAGCCGGGAATCAAAGGTCACTGTGACCATAATGAGGATGTTGCCCAGTATTGTAGTAGTATAGACAAACAGAAACACCAGGAACAGGAAACTCTGCCACTCCCATATTTGTGAGAGACCCAAGAAGACAAACTCAGATACCATAGTAAGATTCCCAAGATCCATGAACTTGAAGTTCCCCTCTCAAAAATACCTGGAAGAGAAATGACCCAAGACAAACTCATTAATTCAGGTTCATTTTCTTGTAGAATTTGTAATAATGGGGAATGAGAGGATTAAAAGATACCTTTGCACTATCTCTATGACAAACATTTGGCAGGTCACTAAACAGTGTGAATATGAGTGTGGTGAAGATAATTATTTTAGCAGACAAATATTTTCAATCTCATTTGATATCATTCCACTTATCTACAATGTATCATTTAGAAATGATTTTATATCTTCATAGAATGTTAGAACTGAAAAGAAATGAGAGGTTGAAACAAGATTAACAGGAACTCTACTTGTTAATATCTTTTTGGCATTTAACATTCTACTTCCTTATAACAATCCCACATTTTAGAGTTTCACACCACAAACTATAACCCCTCCCAGTATTTATCCTAAATTAATGAGCTTTGATTGTTGAGTTCTTTCATTTAATAAATCTGTATTAAATATGTACCAGGTACTGTGTGGGAGAATTGTGGGAATTGAATAAACCACACTGACTTTATCTTCTGACTCAATTCCGGATCTAGCTAAGTTCCTTTTCTATCCAATTATGGTCTAGTCCAATTTCTGACTTGTGATAAAACTTTGATCAATTATGGGAATTGTGGAAAAGTTTTATCATATAGTTTGAACCTAGAGTTGAGTAGCTAGGAAGCTGGACTACCTCTACCTAGGTTATGCTGACCAGAAACATACTCAGATCCAAAGATTGATGCAAAGAGTTTTCTCATAATTATACATCTCAAGCAACCCACATACCTTATCTGCAAACTGTCCTCATACTGATCAATCAGTTACTGTTTCCCACTTGGGGAGAAGTGGGACGCTTCTTTTTCTGATTTTAGGGAATTGCACCTGTTTGCTCTCCCTCTCCCAATTAGAAATCAGATTACCTAATCTTGTATCCTGGTTTATATCTTGTTAATTGTTTTCTTTTAATGCCTGTCTTCTCCTGTATTCAGGATTCACTGCCAAGCTGAGGAGGCCACATCTCAATTTGTTATGCAATTGGTGTGCATTGCTTAATAAATCAATATGTTTAGAAGCTCAAAACTTTGTTTCCTCAGTTATTTCAGATTTCATCCATCACATGTGTTAGTTACTAGGGATACAAAAAAGAATAGGACGTGTTTTTGATATAGGTCAGGATCTTATTTAAAATCCAAGTGCACAGTGAAAAAGAACCATGTTCTGGCCCCATTTCCTTGAGATTACATTGTGAGAGGTTGCAAGAAAGTCTGCTTCTTTAATGACCCTTCAAAAACAGAAATAAATATGTTTTAAATAAGCAAAATTATTAAAAACCCTCAAAAGAAAAATGGACTGAAGGGGGAAACAGTCAAAGAAATGACCTCACCACAACATCCCCCAAATAATGGGAAAAATATGGATTGAAAGGAAAAGAAGCAAAAATGCCAGAAGAAAAATATGACAAATAGAAGCACCAGAAATGAAATGAGACCTTTCTCAAAACATAATAAAATGGCATGATAAATATATTGGAGGAATTAAAGGGAGAAATGAAATTAGCAAAAATATCATGAGATGAAATAAAGAAGGAACTAAGTACCACTAAGATATGTCAGAAAAAGATGATGAAACTCAAGAGTTTAGAATAAGACACGGAAATAATAATAGAATTAAAGAAAGCAATCACTTCATTAGGGGAAAGATTGGTGGGAACAATGCAAAAAGCAGAGGGCTGAGTCTGTAAAGTTACTGGATTGTAAACTTCTTAGAATCTACTCACATAAAAGTGTCTAATCTGGAAGACAAATTAATGAGAGAAAATGTGAAAATTACTAGGCTGTGAATAATAAGTGAATCTGAGCACTATATATCAAGAAATTGATAAAGGAAATTTCCCAGACATATCCCCAAAATTTGTATACGGATTGGCAAACAGTAGAGATTACAGGATCGCAAGACACCAAAAGGGATGAACCCTGAATTAAACTCACTCAGGCACATCATTGTAAAGCTTCAAGACTATGATGATGAAAAGGTGCTTTTCAAAGAAGTCAAGAAGAAAATCACAGATTAAAAGAATATATACTTATCCCTTCCACATCGTGACTTTCCCCATGATGGGTTTGATACATCATAGGTCAGCATAAGAAATTAAATGGGAATTTTGGGAGAATTTTGGAAAGCCACAGACAACACATGAAGGTCAGAAGATGACACAGAACCTATGACCACATACTTAATCCAAATTTTACAATAAGTTATTATAAACACTCCATGAAAGAAAAAGAAAAAAATTCAGACTTCTTTTGTACAAAGACAGGGCCATAAAATTTTATGCCAATTTTCCAAATTATGAGGGCACTGCACCCCTAACCTTCATGATGTGGAAGAGATAACTGTATATCAATTTAAATTGCACAAGATTTTAGCACAAAAAGTAAAAATGGCAGAAACTAGAATATTATATGCCAAAATTAAGAGATATAGAATTCCATTCCAAAATCATCTTCCCTGCAAAACAAACAATTCTTTTTGAAGACAAAAAAATGATCATATAAGATTCCATATGAATTTTAAGGGATTGTAGAGAAGAGAAACAAACTTAAGGTGACTTTTGACTTGCAAAACGTATAAGAATGCAGGTGTATTTCCTTGAACTAAGTATGTAAAATTAACAGGAACTTTACAATTGTGATTAACTAGCTGTTCTCTAAATGAAATAGCCATAAGGGAATAGCAAAGTAAATGTAATGCTGATTTTAATAAGTGACCAATATGTATGGCCTTAAGAAATAAAAAAAGATAGAAGCAGAAGGTCAGAAGTAAATTGATTTGGGGCAGTACCAGATCTCAAACTATATGTACTACAAAGCCATAATCAATCATCAAACAATTTGCTACTGGTTAAAAAACAGAATAGTCAAAATGTTTGCATTGGGCCTCCTTCTTAGCCCTGGCAGTTGGCTTTTACTAGGATCATTTTCCTCATTATAAGAAGAAAATATGAGGGAGTAGAAAGATAAAGAGAAAGAGGAAAAGAAATAAAAGAGTATAAAGATCCAATCTTAGATTGGAAAATACATGAGTGGACCCTCTAGAAAAGTCTGTAGTGTAGACCCATTAGAATTTGAGGAACAAAAATCTTCTAGTAGGATTGAGTTTGGGGTCTGATTTCAAGACCCAGTCTCTTCCCTACCTAGGAGGAGGAGGAGGAGGAAGAGGAGGAGGAGGGGGGAGGAGGAGGAGAAGGAGGAGGAGGAGAAGAAGAAGGAGGAGAAGGAGAAGGAGAAGAAGAAGGAGGAGGAGGAGGAGGAGGAGGAGGAAGATTTTTAGCCTTTTTTCCTCTGGTTATTGTTGTTTCCCTTCATGGAATGGGCCACCTCCTTCTCTTCACATTCTTTATCTAGGATTTCCTTTGCCTCCTCCCAGGAGTATTTCTTACTAGCTCCAGTCCATTCCAATTATTCCCTCTCTGTGTGTTTCCCCAGTACAGGGCATTCAACTGGTTCTAGGTTAAACTGAAAACCACCAAACGTCAGAAACAGAAGGGACTTTAGAAATTATCTAATCCAATCTTCCCTCCTCATTTGAGAGAGAAACTGAGCCTTGGAGAGTAATTTTTCACCACTACATAGCTCTCGTCTTCCAAACTAGACCATAGATTCCTCTAGGTTAGAAAGTATGTTTTCTTGTTTTGCCTTCTCCATAATGCATAGAACAGAGACAATCCATAAAGGCCTAATGAGTTACAGAATAATGACTAAGAAGGGTGAGGGCTCATGGAAGAGCATCAAAAGCATCAAGAAGGCATCGCTGCATCTTAGCTACACTAAAACAAAGGTAAAATGCAAAGGACTTATGACCTGAAATGACACAGCTCACAGAAACGTTTAGTACTCCAGGAGTATTAGAGAATCTTCTCATCCATCCCTCTGCTTATGGGTAGGGCTATACATAAACATTCTCACCAGAATGCTAGAGAAGACCTAGGAGTCCCAATTCTTTGCACTTTCAGAGACATCAAAAAAATTTTTAGGAAGCATGGCAAATATGAAGAAAATAGACATCAGAGCAGATAGGTGGTACACTAGCTGTAAAAGTGCTGGCCTTGGAGACTCCTCTTTCAAAGTTCAAATCTGGCCTCAGACACATTTAGCTGTGTAACACTGGGCAAGTCACTTAACCTTTTTGCCTCAGTCTCCTCATCTGTAAAATGAGTTGGAGAAGAAAATGGTAAACCAGTATCTTTGCCAAGAAAACCCCAAACAGGGCCAGAAGGAGTTGGACACACTGGAAAAATCACTGAACAACAAGAAGTCAGAGGCAGGGAAGAGAACAAAACAGAAGAAACTGAGTAGGAAGAAAGCAATGAGAATGGAGAAAGCTTGAAATGAGGAAAGACCTAATCTAATGAAACTTGTACAGTGAAACAAGATTGTGTAGGCTAATGTCATTATCATGTTATGGAAAGACGATTTACTTGATTGGAAGTCAGACCTGGGTCCTGGTTCCAGTTCTGCCACTAATTATACAAGTCATTTCACTTCTCTGGGACAGTTTTTTCATCTATTAAACACACCCAGCTTGAACTAGAAGTTCTTTGTATTTCTTTCCAGCTTGAATAGTTGTGATTCTTTGACACTATAGGGTTCCCAGGTCCTGCTATTGACACCTATCTTCTCCTCATCCTCTTTGCCCATGACACACACTGAAGATTAGATGAGATCAGTGACTCTACCCTTTACACCAAATCAGGCAGTTCTTCCCTTTTCTCATGATTTCCTGACTATTATGCCCTAGCCTTTTCTCAACTCTAGCTCAGAGCTTCTGACCCTAGCTAGAACCTTCCCTGGATTTTTTGCAAAATCGAGGAGCAATGTCTTCTCAACTTCCCTCTTCTTACCTCCCCACTACTCAGTACTTACTCCAGGAATAATAATAATAGCTGGCATTTGTATAGTGTTCTAAGATTTGCAAAGCAATGTGTGTGTGTGTCTGTGTGTATGTGTGTGCGTGTCCATGTGTGTGTGTGTGTGTGTGTGTGTGCGTGCGCGCATTAGCTCGTTTGACTTTTACAACCACCAATGAGATGATTGCTATTATTATCCCAAAGTTACAGATAAATTATTATCCCAAAGTTACAGAGGTTACAAGGTAACAGCTAGTAAATATGTTAGGCAGGTTTCAAACCCAGGTTTCCCTGACTCCCAATCCAGCCCTCTATGCACTACATCAAAAGAACTAGGAGACCCAAGTTCCCACCAACAACAATCAAAATTCAGATCTAGATTCATATTTTCCAGAGTCTTTCCAGTTCTGCTAGAGCCTTTGGGGATCAGGAATGGTGTTTCACCCCAGACAGACTGGTACAGAGTGGCCTTCTATAAAAGCTTTGCATTCCAGATAAAAGTAATGGAGGAAAGCTCTGGATCAATAACAAGCTAAAGATACAATTTTAAAGACAAAAGCCAAAAAAATTTAAACTAGGTTGTGGGAAACCCCTTTCTCCTAATAATTGTGTTCCTAAAAGGGAAGGCTGAGTGGGAGGAAATGTGGAGATATTTCAAAAGAGTTGGACTCCAACCATAGAAAATAAGGGGAAGTGGAGCAGAGCAGGAGAAGGAAAGGATAGACAGAGATAGGATAGAGACACACAGAGAGAAATTAAGAGGAAGGAAGGAAGGAAGGAAGGAAGGAAGGAAGGAAGGAAGGAAGGAAGGAAGGAAGGAAGGAAGGAAGGAAGGAATGGAGAAGGAGAAGAAAATAAAGAATAAAAGAAAGGAGGGAGTGAGGAAGGAGGAAAGAAAGAGAGAAAGGAAGGAGAGAGGGATAGAGAGAGGAAGGTAAGGAGGGATAGAGAAAGAGAAAGAAAAAATAAAGGAAGGAAGGAAGGAAGGAAGGAAGGAAGGAAGGAAGGAAGGAAGGAAGGAAGGAAGGAAGGAAGGAAAAAGAGAATGTTAGAACTAGAGAAGCAACTTGAAAGACTATCTGGTCCAACCCCTTCTAAGGTCCCAAAAGGTGTAATGACTCACCCAGGGTCACACAAGCTGGTGACAGAGCTGAGACTAGAACAAAGTTCTCCTGAATCCAAGTGCAATATTCTTTCAGCTACCACCCCAAATCCATGAGGCAGCAAAGAGGTACCATGAGATGTAGAAGCCTGGAGAACTCCTCCAAGAGACAGTGACAACAGATGAGGACGTGGAAGGGGCTATGTAAGAAAAGGAACTATGTGAGGTAGGAGGCAGAGAAGATATAGAGTAGTGTTAGTAAATGCTTAACAAATGGCTCTCCAAGAAAAAAAAATGTACACACAATACATTTTTAGGTTTAACCTGTAACTAACATTTTATCTATCACTTTCTTAATTCTAGACCAGGGGTGGAGAACCTGTGGCTTCGAGGCCACATGAGGCCCTCTAGGTCCTCAAGTGTGGCCCTTTGACTGAGTGCACACTTTACAGAACAAATCCCCTTAATAAAAAGATTTGTTCTGTAGAACTTGGACTCAACCAAAAGATCGCTCTCAATCAACAAAAACAATCAATCAAGCCCTGATGTATGATATTTGCTGATTTCCTAAGGTACAAAAGCTCACACAGAAAAATTTCACAATTGTCTCTCTCACAAGCCAATATGAGCTGGTTCTAGCATACTTCTGATTAAAGATTAACAAATGACGTGTATGTGTGTACACACATATACTTATGGCCACTTTTAGATGCAACTTCATGTTTCATTATACCCTGAATATTTTCTTTCTACTTCTATTGCATTGTAAAATACAAAGAGGAATGAATGTGGTGTCCTAAGACTCAGCTTGAATTCTCAGTTCTGCCATACATTGTCTGTGACCTTTAACAAGTCACCTAAACTCTTAGCAACTCCAGGCAAGTCTCTAAGTTGACAAGTGAGTTGCCAGTGTCCATTGGAGAAGGGGTTGTCCCCACTGGGAGTTATCCACACTGATTAAAATAAGAGGGCCTAAGCAAAATAAATAAATGAATTCATATGCCTGCCCCACCCTAAATAGTCAGTATTTACTACTTAGAATCCCTTGTTGCTGAGCCTAAAACTCATTTACAGGGAAGGAATCTTAGGGTCATCTTGCCTACCTTTAGTCCAGGACAGAGGGGATTTAGGGCTTCACATCTTCATGGGTAACCAGTTCCTTGCTCGTTCACTCACACTCAACCTGGACCTCACACATACAGGCTGGACCCCAGGAGGGACATTTAGAAGGAATAAGGAATGACTAAAGTTAGAAATCAGACTCATAAGGAGTATGAGTGAGGACACCTGCAAGGAGAATGATTTAAAAGTTACTGACTGGTTGCGTCAGACACCAACACAAACAAATATGCCCACAAATACACAGGGAGAGGGAAAGGAAACCTTGTTTTTAACATTCAAAGCCCCAGGGGGAGGTCCATCCCCTTTCAAGGAGAACTGGACCAAGAGGAGAACATGGCAGGGCTTGGCTACAATCCCTGAGTACAGGGCACCTGGCCAAGAAAGCTGCATGTAATTAAGGATGAGTTATGGCCTGTTGGGAGTGATGACAACTACTATATTTAGTGCCTTAAGTTCCAGTGGGAAAGGCATAGTTCTGGAATGTTCCCCATTCCATATTCCTTTATGCAAGGGGGGATGGTCAGATATTATAAGACTGACTACTGATATATTGGGGCAGCTAGGTGGTACAATAGATAGAGCTACAGGCCCGGAGTCAGGAAGACCTGAGTTCAAATCCAGCCTCACACACTTACTAGCTGTGTGACCCTGGGCAAGTCACTCAGCCTCTGTTTGCCTTAGTTTTCTCATTTGTAAAATGAGCTGGAAAAGAAAATGGCAAACCACTCAAGTATCCTTGCTAAGAAAACCCCAAATGGGGTCATGAAGAGTCAGACACAACTGCAATGACTCAGCAACAACAACAACAACAATAAACTAGTATCTCAGTTGTGAAACTGAATTTGGGTCATCGCTGGGTATGTGTAGTCTCAGGACAAAGAAACGACGTGACGCTCCCGACCTAAGAGCAGAAAAGCCAAGGAAGGATGGAAATCCTACACACAAGTAACTACCTTTACCTAATCTTTAAATATTTTAGTGACAAGATAGGGATCGTGGAAAGCACTGGCCTTTATCACAGTGGAAAAGGTCAGCACCGTGGAATGGTAAGAGAAGTGGCTATAGAGATGGAGGAATGGGGTTCAAATCCCATCTCTTCCACTTGCTACTTATGAAACTTTAGGTATGTTATTTAAGTCAGTCAGTCAGTCAACAAGCACTTATTAATTGCTTCCTATGTGCCAGACACCATACTAAGCACTGGGAATACAAATACAAGCAAAAAGAAAGACAGTCCCTGTCCTCAAGGGGCTTACATTCTATTAAGGAAGAAGGCCACACACAAAAGGAAACTGAAAAGGGTGGGAGGAATGAAAGTTAGAGACTAGGAATGATGGAGAAGTCCAGAGGAGTACAGCCTGATGGGAAATGAAGATCCCCCTAGACCTCACTCATTTTCCTCATTTGTAAAGTGAGGTTAGACCAGATGATCTGAAAAGCCCTTTCAGCTCAAAAATTCTAAAACACTGAGCATAATAAAATTGCCCAAGGAGAAGAGTTGAGTGGGGCAAAAAAAAAAATTCATTTGCTTTATTTTTGGTGGTGTTTTTAAGCAAGGGCAGCATGGCTTAGTAGAAAGAGATTTAGATCTGTGGTCTAAAGACCTGGGTTCCGATACCAGCTCTTTTACTTATGATTTGTGTGACCTTGAACAATTCACTTGCTCTCATTAGGTCTCAGTTTCTTCAACTGGAAAATGAAAAGGTTAGACAAGATGACCTCTAAAATCCCTTCTAGTTCTGACATTCTCGGGCAAAACCATGTGGAGCAAAGCAAGTTCTTGACATCCTTTTTTGCTATCAGCCCCTACCTTATCATTAACGGTACAACAACAAATTCACACAGTAAAAAGGGAGAAAATGTGTCCCTGTCTATACCTGACAGAGACCAGAGAAAGAGGGAAAGTATACATATGCACAAAAATATTTATAAGAGCTCTTCCTGAAGTGTCAAGGAATTGGAAACTGAGAAAATCGCCCATCAGTTGGGGAATGGCTAAGTTATATTATGTGAATGTAATGGAATACTATTGTGCTGTAAGAAATGATGAAGGGGATAGTTTCTGAAAAACCTGGAAAGTCTGGTATGAACTGCTGCAAAGTTAAGTGAGCAGAACCAGGAGAACGAATCATACAATAGCAGCCATTTTGTTAAGATAATCAATGAAAGGTTCAGCAACTCTGATCAACACAATGACCAACCACAATTCCAAAGGGCTCATAATGAAACATGCTGCCCACCTCCTGATAGAGAGCAGATGAACTCAGATGGCACACTGAATATATATTGTTGTCTTTATTTTTTTTTAAATCTTGGACATGACTAATCCAGAATTTATTTTGCATGACTACACATAATTGTAATGGATTTTGTTTTTCTTTCCCTCTCAATGGGTAGAAAAGGGGGAAGGACAGGGGGATGATTCAAAACTGAAAATAAAATTTATATTAAAAAAGAAATACAAAGGACAAAAACAGAAGGAAAATGCATCCATGGCTCATCAGAAGAATCAGATGTTTTCAATTTAGAAAACAGGGATACTGTATCTCCTTGATACTGTACTGTCAAATAGTATTGTCAAATTCACTGTAGTATATTACCACATTATAGATACTTTTCATTGTTATCTTTATAGATATAACATAAATTTGTAGAGCAATTATCATATTTCTAAGCACTTAAGAAATAAATGCTCCACTACTTTGATCCAAAGATCCACTGCTAGGTATATACCTCAAGGAGGTCAAAAACAGGAAAATGTTACATATATACCAAAATATTCATAGCAGGTTTTTTGCAGTGAAAAAATAAACAAAATAGGCATTTCCTAAATTGGGGAATGGCTAAAAAAATTATGATACATGAATATAATGAACTATAAGAAGTGATGAATATGAAGAATTCAGGGAAACATGAAAAGATTTGTATGATCTGATGCAGAGTGAAATAATCCAAACCAAGAAAATATTATGCATAATGACTACAAAAATGTAAACAGAAAGTATAGAAAAAGAAACTAAGAACTATATAATTATTATGCCTGAGCTTGGCCCCAAAGAAAAATTGACAAAAAACCCCACCTTTCATTGCAAACGTAGGGGACTACGGGCATGAGATATTGTATATGCTGTGAGACAGAGTTGATGTGTTGGTTGGTTTTGTTGAATAGGCTTTTTTCTCTTTTTTAAATTCTTTGTTACAAAGAATGTTTCCATTGGAGGGAAAAGAATGGGGAATGCAATCAGAAATGAAGATGATGTAAAAAGAAAAGATGTCAAAAAAATTTTTAAAAATAGATAATTTACTTAAAGCTCTAGTCTTATACTTCATTATGTCATAAAGATGATCTTGTGTTCTTGAAGATGATGTCAGCAAGTCATAAATTCTGACAGGTCCTACCAAGCTAAAAAGACTTTGGGTATGGATCCAACAAAAGATTGTTAGTCTGTTGTCTGAGGAGCAGTTGAGCTAAGTTCAGAGAGACGTATCACCAGAAAATTGGCCACCAAGTGATCTATTACTTAGGCCACAGCAATTCATAACATCATCTACTAAGGCACAAATGGATTAAGATCTGCCTTAGTGGAAGGAATACCTACAATTGATCTTTTGTGGACGTAATGAAATAAGATTGTATTTTTTAAGCCGTAGCAAGTCCTAGGTATGTCCTTCCAAATACTCTTTATTTTCCTGATAATAATTCCTTATATAGTGGGGGCAGCTAGATGGTGCGATGAATAGTGTCCAGACTAAAGTCGAGTTTAAATCTGGGCTCAGAGACTCACTAATTGTACAACCCTATGCAAGTCACTTAACTCTGTTTTCCTCAGTTTTCTTATCTGTAAAACAAGCTAGAGAAGGAAATAGCAAACCATTACGGTATCTTTGCCAAGAAAGTACTAAATGGGGTCACAAAGAGTTGGATATGACTGAACAACAACAAAATTTATATAGTGCTTTACATTTATAAATCATTTTCACATACATCATCTCCTTTGATACTCACAACAATTCAGTGGGGATAGGTACTATGAGTATTATTATCCCCATTTTGTATGTAATGAAACTGAGACTCAGAGGGATTAAGTACTTCAGTGACTTTCTCACAGCAGTACAGTTAGAAAGCGGTAGGTCTTCTGACTCCAGTACAGTACTCTTTCCTATTTACCATGCTATCTCCCATTGCAATAAATTACACATGTTTTTCATAAATCTATCATTTGTTCCCTAAGTACTTCAATATCTCCACATATTTTACCATTTGTATCAGTCTAATATTTAGAACCACTGACAATCCTAAGAGGCTGGGGCACTGTGACCTCTTTCTCTCACCAATGGATCTGTCTGTTCTGGATTCAGGGCCATAGTTCAAACCAGGTTCAGTCCTAGGATAACCTGGCAACTAAAGAGAGAAGGGTTAGGCTCTTTTTCTTGTACTTTTCAGTTTGTTAAACCCCATACCAACACTCTGTGGATAAATGAATAATTTAAAGTGTAAGTTTTGGCTCATATCTGTGACCTTCCCAGAGAAGGGAGTAGAAAGGTACTCAGTATATAATGTGAATCCAGTATGGGCCAGGTATTTATTTCCCACACACAAAAAGTAATACTGTACTGAACACTCACTAAAACAAAATTAAGACAAGACTTGGTAACCCAAGTTATAACAAATGTTACAATCTGCTTGGACTTAAACCTCATGAGAACACAACATAGTTTGCAAGACAACTAATTAGGAATTTTGCATTTCACCTCAGCTTTAGGCTGTCTAAACAGCTATTGGTACTATGTCTCCTAGTAAAATGGGGCAGGCTTGGACCAGTTCTTTTGTTGCTTATCTTCTTTTCCAAAAGCAATGGAATAGTTACTACCATTTAACTCCTACCAAAAGAATTTGGGACCAAAATTCACAAGCTCATCTTCAAGCCTAGACTCATTGATTCATAGGTCTTGGGGAAGATACTTATTCATCTAAAATCAGGGAGGGAAAAACAATTATGAAAAGGTCAATTCAACATCTCCTACATCAAAATAAGGAGAATTAAGGAGTCTGGAGACCTGGTTCTAGTCTTGGTTTTTCCACTAATGAGTTGTGTGAATCTTGTCAGGCAAGTCACTTTCTCTTTCTGGGCCTCAAGTTTCATCCTCTGTAAAATGGGAAG